CGCTGAAGTCGCAGGACTTCAGCAAACAGACCGATTTATTTTTTTTTCCCTTCTTCTTCAGATCCAGAAATGGCAGTATTTCTGTTCGTTGGCTGCTTTGATTTAGTGTGGCCTTGTTAAAAAGACCGGCTGCGACTGTTGAGTAGAGTTTCCTTTTGAAGTCGTGTCTCTTAAGGTGTCTTCCCAGGACAATCCCAGTTTGGCAAGCGGTGATGGAGGAACTTAGAGCCCTCGGTCAAACTGAAGGTGCATGGGTGGTGGGACATTGACTCTGTGTTAGCAAGCATTAGTAACTGTGCAGCGTGAGTTCAGATACTAATGCGTTGTCTGTTTTAAGCAGAAGTTTGATCCTGAATTAGAACTTTGCCCTTTACAGACTGCTTTTTTAGTTTTAGCACAACTTCCCGTAGCTGTAGTGGCCATAAATAGTTTACTTTGTCTAGATATTTTTCCTAATGCTTCATTTTCTTGTAGATTTTTTCTCTTCTGAGCACAAGATCAGGGTAGGAATTAATTACTTTTGTTTATATAATAATTCTCTTTTTTTGTTTGTTTTGGAAACTACTTTCTGACAGCTATGAAATTTCTGTTGGTTTTTGATTTTGACCATACAATCATAGATGAGAATAGTGATACCTGGATTGTGAAATGTGCTCCTGAGAAAAAACTTCCTAACGAATTAAGAAACTCCTACCGACCAGGACATTGGACAGAATACATGGGCAGAGTCTTTGTCTACTTGGGAGACAATGGCGTCAAAGAAGATGAGATGAGAAGAACTATGACAACAATTCCTTTCACTGTGGGAATGGTGGATCTTATGGGTTTTCTTGGCGAGAACAAAGAGTTGTTTGACTGCATCATTGTTTCAGATTCTAATACAGTATTTATTGACTGGATTTTGAAAGCTGCTGGTTTCCATAAGGTGTTTGATGAAGTGTTTACAAACCCTGCAGCATTCAGCAGTACTGGCTATCTTACTGTACAGAACTTCCATGCTCACCATTGTGCAAAGTGCCCCAAAAACCTTTGCAAAAGGAAAGTTTTAAAAGAATTTATAGATAAACAGTTGGAGCGAGGAGTAAGTTATACACAAATTGTATATATAGGTGATGGTGGGAATGACTTATGTCCAGTAATGTTTTTGAAGAAGGATGATATTGCTATGCCCAGGCAAGGGTATACCTTGGAGAAAAAGATTTCTCAACTGGCCCAAGATCTCAGTCCTGTAGAGTGTTCTGTTCTGGTTTGGTCATCTGCTAGAGAAATTATGTCTCATCTGAAAGTGCTTTTAAAGGAATAATTCCAATGATAAAAGGAAGCCAATACAGTTACATTTTATCTTCCTGGGAGAGAAAAACTGTATGTGTATAAAAGCACAAAATTGTAAAATTGGTCTGTTATCTGAACTTACGATTTTAAACACAATATAAAACTGTTTAGGTTCAGTCTTGGCAATAGTGGTGAAGTGAAGTTAAAATGGCTTTCTAACGTAGTACACATTCCAACGTAAGTGGAGAATGGGGATTGCAAGAGGAATTGCTGTTGTTCTTAGTCTTCCCTCTCCTCCCCCAAGCCTTTACTGACAATATAACTGACCTTTTCTGTTCCATGTGCTTAGGGGAAGAAGTAAGAGCAGCTCACAAAATAATTAAATTCTTTATTTGCAAAACATTAAGTGCCAGAAGTGTGGTTCTGGAACCATGCTTTTATATTTCTTTGATCAGGATAAATGTTTAATTTTGTAAATTATTTGTTATGCTTGTAATCTTGTTTGAGCTGAAGATGCATTTGTATTTTCAATATACTAAATATTTTGCCAAACAAAATTACTTTTAATAATTTGTATTGTATTGTAAAGACAATAAAAGTTACTGTCATTGACAAAAGCAATGCACCTGATTTGTGTCATGTGTTCTGCTGGCCTGTGTGTCATCAGACACCTGTTCTTGTAAGGGCCTGGAGAGCGTGAACACAAGTGTAGGTGCCAGCCTTTGCGTAACACCTTCATTTATTTTGTCAGTCAGACTCCTTCTCTTCTGGAGAGCAGCAAGGACGTTGCCGTTCTGTTTCAAGAAGAGTCACTCTCCCATTCTCCTGACTGCCACCCTGACAGCGTGCTGCTGCCACTCCATATAGAGTTAATGCTGGTTTGCTCTTCGTGCTGACAGCTCTGAGTCAGCCAGGTGCTTTTTTCTTGCTGGGTGTCTGCTCTAATGCACAGGCCCACTGAATGGTGCATATGTATACATGTTTCCACTGATTTTACATATCCACTGTCGCCCATGTCTATAGTATAATCCTCTCATACAGGCTGGAAGGGAACATTTGTCTCCATTTTAATCTTTTAACAGAATTGCTCTGTTTTTAAATAGTTACAGGAATTGTTTGTCATCATGCAGTCTTTCTCTTTACCACTCACAGTGGGATCAGCCCCAAGAGTTGGCCTATGCATCTAGAGGTATTATTAAAAATAAGTCTCATTAAAGTATTTTCATGCCAAATGTTTTCTTTCTTATAGTCCCACAAAAGGTTCAAACTGATGTAGTCTGTTATTGAACTGATGTCTGTTTTAGCTTAAGTGAGCTTTAATAACAGAAATCAGACCAACTTTTGCAACACTTTGGTTGCAGATGTCCAAGATGTAGCTCAGCAGCCTGCAATTACTGTAGCTGTCTTCCTCTGTTTTCTGTGCAGTATTGTTCTCATTTTTTTACCGACATTTGATGTTGTCACTACCTTCATTTTCTCAGTTTGAGATTTTTAGGAGTGGTCTTGCTTGTTTTCAGGCAGATAGTGTATATAAATTAAGATTTCCTTTGAGTACTTCCTTGTAAATGCTCCTGCTTCTAGCTCTTTTCCTGCATTGTAGAAGGTTGCTTTGAACAGTCTGTTATCTAAGATTTCCAGAGTCATGGACCTGAGTTCTCAGGAGCATTGCTTTAATATTTGATAGGTGCCAGAGCTATTTGTACTGGAGATCTTACCCTGTTGTTTTGTGCAAGGGCACAACAACGGTGTCTGAAGAACTGGTGGATCTGAAGTTGTGACAGGTTTAAGTGGTCTGATTTACAGGTCATGCAAAAAGAATGGTAATGGCTGTTGCACAGTACAATTTTGTATATTTTTTTTTTTCAAGTTGTGCGTCTTCTTCATTCTAGATGTGCTGCTTAATGTTTCAGATTCTGTGCTGGTCTCTTTTGTGCTTTTCAGAACTTAGTTGTGAAACAGCCTGCTTTCAGTTTGCCCACAGATCTCAGTTACTGCTTACTTAAACAAACAATGAACTAGTATATGAATTCAGCTTTTTCTTCCACTTGTATTAACCATTGTTCTTTTAACCTTAAGGAACCCACCTTGTAGTTTGCTGTGAGAGTGAGAAACTGAATGAGAAATTAATCTTCCTGCTCAAAAAGGGGTGTTTTTTGTGGTTTCAATTAAAGTGCTGAAGCCGGAGCTGAGAGATTAAGCAGACTACTTGAAATATCAGCAATTATGATGCAATTACTTCAAGTAGAGGGTAGAGATGATGCTATTTGCTAGGCAAGTGCATGTTGGAGACAGAAGAAATTTTTAAACTCCAGTGGGTAGGCCATTAAGCTATTAATATGAGGTCTTGGGGCTTTTCTTCCTCTTACAAGAGAAGAGAGAACTTTTCTGAAGCACCACAATTACCTTTTCTTTCCACATTGGGGTATAAGGGAGGGGAGATGAGTATTTCCAAAGGTGAAGCTAGTTTAAGCTGGTAACCCAGCCAAAAGAGAAAGGGAGAAGCTCCTTGAAGGGGTGCATGTTCAGTACTGGGTGTTGCTGATCTCTAAACTTGCTGGCAGTTTTCTATAGGGTAACAGGTCTGCTAGCGTACGCCAGCTACTATAAAGAGGACTTAGCCTTCGTGTTACATGCTAGTAGGATGGCCGAGACCTGGGAGAAGTTCCGTTTGTCTGTAGGAAGCTGATGAAATGGAAAGTGCAAAACCCCAGCAAAACAGCTGTTGGCATGGGGATGTATAAACAGACTCAGGGCTGTACAAGAGAATGCTCCAGAGGAAGGAATGGAGTGAGGAATGTAGCTGGGGACAGGCCGCCAGTTCCTGGGTTACACCACAAAACTCTAATTTCCTGGGCTAACAATGCATTGAGTGATTGAAAGGCAAAAATGTGTGAAGGGTTTGTTGGTTTTTGTTTGAAGCAGCTCATTTATGTGTCTCCTCACTAGGTAAAGGCCAAGGGCACGTTTGCATCCTGTTGCACAGTGAGCATGTGAGGAGGGACGGCAGAGGAGTGTGTGTATGTACACTTCCCAGTTCAAGTTCCTTCTTTAGTTCACAGAAAAGAATCTGTGTAGAGCAGGACTGAGTATTGCTGGCACTTGCTAATCATGACAAATACCCACCTCCTTTTGGTAGGAGAAACCGCTGCCTGTCCTTTCAATCCAGAAGAGCTCTGGCAGGACACGGGGAGCCTGGCTGCTGGATCCAAACGATCCAAACCCTGCTGCAGGTGAAGGAGGGAGCACAGCTGCTTAAACCCAGAGGACGCTGTGCTTCAAATACTTCTAAAGGTGTCCATTGCAGAAAATGCTTTGCTAGCTGAGAAGAAAAAGACTCCTTAAATAGTGATTCGTGTTTTCAGAAGTGCTAGAAGCCACTATAACCTTCTTCCTGCATAAATTGCTTAGGGTTGGAGTCTGTTTGTCGGTGTCGTTTGTGACTGTCCTTTGCACCGTGCCTGGAGCTCTGGCTGCTCCCTCTCAAATCCCATCCTTCTGCCACAGGGGAGTCCCTGGAGCTTGCTGTCCGTCCTGGGAGAGTGGGGTGCTGCTGCGCGAGGCGGCTTCAGGGGGCAGTGACAGGTCCCTTTGCTTTGTTGTGTGGCTGAGATTCACCGAGCTGGTGACGCTCCCCAGGCGTCTGCTCCTGTCCCTGACACGGTGGCAGCGGCCGCGCCTTCTGTCATTGTCGCACTGAGCCCTCTAACTCCTGCCCGGGGCCG